ACTCAGGTGTGACTCTGGAACTCTGCCTCCCCGAGTGACGTGTGTGCCTCAGATGGGCAGGGCTCAGGATGAGCACAACTCCTTCCTGGGGCCTTCTAAACCCAAAGCAAACAAAATGAATGGAAATCTCCTGGCCATCCTGCCTCCTGGGGGAACTCAGAATCCTCAAGGATCTACAGGCTGGTGACATAAGGTAGTGCCCAAGCTGAGCACACTGAGACAGGTGAAAACTGGGACCGTCCTAGGCAACGTGGGACATGTGTGTACATAGGTGTAGAGAACATCACAATTTAAACTATGCCATTTAAATTTAGGAGAAAACCTAACTGCTGAAAGGAACAACTACAACAAATACCCTGAAGAGTTAAGTAGGGATGAAATATTTAGTATTGGCTAGGCAACGTGGGACATGTGTGTACATAGGTGTAGAGAACATCACAATTTAAACTATGCCACTTAAATTTAGGAGAAAACCTAACTGCTGAAAGGAACAACTACAACAAATACCCTGAAGAGTTAAGTAGGGATGAAATATTTAGTATTGTAAAGAGCTTTAGTTCTCTCCTTTCAAAGCGGTTTTGGGAGGTAGGATTAGCACATATCAAGAAAAAGTCTGTGGCAAGAGGCATTTTTTTAAGGTATCCAAAAACAGTTACAGCAGTAAGCTTATTAAGATTTTGTTCTAGAATTGAGAAGGGAATTTGAAAACATACCAGTAAAAAAGTAAACCCATTGGCTGTAATATTCCATTTGAAATATTCCACTTGAAACACACCATCTTCTAGTGGGGTCATGATGTTTGCCAAGCACGTGTGGGTCAATCAAGGAGAGACAAGAGTACAGGACTCCTGAGTAGCTCCCACAGTAAATTTCACAGAAGAATCAGATGATTTGCTGAAAATCTAAGCAAGTTGGTCTACTGATGACACCCCCCTTCCCCAGCTTCTCATGGAAAAGCATTCTACGGCAGTTGTCATAAAGGCCTGGCCCAACTGGAAAAGAACACAGCTCAGCCTGCACCTCCCAACACATCCCTGACCCTACCTGCCAAACGGGGACCAGAACCTGTTCACCCAGCCAGATGCCATGTGAGCGTGCTTTAAAAACTGGCACTTTAAGTGGTTTAAAGAATGGTAGCTCTAAGATTTCACCCCAGTGGGGAGAGTAAACTTTAAGATTTCACCCCAGTGGGGAGAGTAAACTTAAATCATTAAAGGATAAAAGAGCCAGTTGTCCAGGAAGATGATGCTGTGCGTGGTACTGGGACAGGGAGGATGCGCCCAGGGCCACCCAGTGCCCTGCAAACCCAGCAGAACAGGCAGCTGCTGCGCTTAGCTCTGCAGGGCTGAGGGCTGCGGGCTTGGTTTGGAGCTGGAGGCCTAATCCTGCGCCTCGAGCCTCACTGCCCTCCCCTCGCTTACCAGCCCCTCCTCAGACACGCGCCCTTTCCAGACCCCCAACAATCAGCCCGTTTCATCTGGGTCCTCCCACCTTCCTCACCGGCTTTTACCCGGGATTCAGATGTGGGCCTTTCGGTTCAAACTCTGCCCTTCCTTAAACCACATCTGAGGAGGAACAAAGGGGAGACGAGGCTGATGTCAGCCTCGGGGAAGAAGAGTCCCCACTTAGCGCAAAGGTATCTACTTTCTGTTGTTTGAGAATTGAAAACACTGAGTCAGTGGAGGAGCAGACAGGTGGGACAGGGCCCAGGGGGCCTTGCCTGAGGTGGCTTGCTGCCTCTCAGATGTGAGTGCTGCATTTTGAGGACAGGAAATGAGCCTCAGAGAGAGGTGACAGGAACTTGTCCCGGCCCCAGGACATCGGCAGCAGAGCCAGGGCCTGGACCTCTTTCTGTCTGAGGCTCAGTCCAAGACCCCCTGGGCTGCATCAGAATAAACATCACAGAACAGGTTATTAGCCTTTCTGGGTGGGGCACCTAGAGAAAGATGTGGACCCTCTCCCGAGAGAACTACACATCCAAGATACAAAGAAGATTTTGCACACTCCTTGTAGGTTACCAGCCAGGTGACCCAGGCCCCACAGGCCCGAGGCGAGGACCGCCAGGCACAGACATCTCATCATCCTAAAAGCCTGTGTAGCAGCTACCATTATTCTCCATTTTTCCAGATGAGCCATCGAGACAAAGTGCAACAGCACTCCTGCTGTCACACAGCTCGGCAGGTGCCCAACCCCCAGGTCTGACCCACAGGTGCAAACAGGTACGGCCACAACAGGGTGGGCCGTGATGTGACCAGAGATGAGAAGCCCCTGAGGCGGGACCTGGGAGGTGGCCCCTGCTCCAGACGCTGCCACAGGGCTCAGGGGCCAGCCAGCAACTGTCCTTAGAGCAGCCTGTGGCTGTTTTCAAGCATCAGATTCACCTCAAAAGACTAAGTTATGCCCTTGTTGAGAATATTCACAAGAATGTACCACAGGCTCTGAAGACAAATCCCCGAAGAAGTCCCAAGTCCCTGGAGGACGGTGCGGGGCTTGGCAAAATCCCTCCCACCTGGGACATTCCATGTTCATATTTAGTTAGGTCTCAAGGACAAAAGAATTTGCCGTGGCATGCCCACAGCCAATTTCTATCTACCCTCTCCTCAAAAAAAGAAAAAAGAAAGAAAAACTTTGGAGAGAAAAGGGAGAAGAGTGGCCGGGCTGACTCGCTCTCACAGGAAAGGTGGTGACAAGACAAAACCATGCAGAGGCCACTCGTGGGGAGGGTGGACAGTGAGGAGTGTGGGACGGTCCCCAAGTGGGGACAGAACAGGAAGGGAGGACAGCTGGGGGCAGTGGGCGGTCTCTGTGCGTATGTTCAGTTTGCCCCTTTTGGAGGCTCCTTGGCTTCCTGATCGTGGCCATGGGGGTGGCTGCTGTCACCAGCCCCTGGACAGGGTGCTCTGGGAGCCCACACAAGCACCTCCCCCAGCCCTGCCCCCCTGGTCCTACCTCAGTCAAACTCTTCAGCCCCCAGAATCCCAGAGGAGGGGATGCTCCAAAGAACAGGCTGCTTCCTGGAGGCAGAGACAGGCAGCAGGAGAAAGCCATGCCAGAGCCTTACTTTCTTAAGGAGGCTAGAAAAGATGAGGATGGCCAGCCAGGGAAGGGAGCTCATCATCAACTATATTTCATGAAGCACCTTAGGACCCCTGTGGGCCTCTCCCAACACTGAAGGCCCAGAAAATGTGTAATGGGATCTTGGGTGTGTGACAGAAACCCAATTCAAGGTGCCTTAAGTAAAAAGGGTGATTTAATGTCAAGATGCTAACAAAATGTCACAAGCTGCATGAAAGATAGGCCTGAGGCTGGATCCAGAGACCAGAGGCTCCCAGGACCTGGAATGCAGACAGGACCATCGACTCCCTACTTTGTTCCTCTCTATGATCCAGCTTTGCTCTCTGAAGCTTCCCTAGATGAATGGGGAGGTAGGACGCAGCCCGAAGTTCTGGGGAAGAAGCTTGCCTGCCCTGGCACGGCCATCCCCGTGCCTGGCTCCGCTTTGGCTTGTTATTAGGAAGAGGTCAGGTGAACACTACTGGAACCAGATGATGACCATGACAGCCCCAGCCTGTCCCCACTCTCCTCCCGGCCAGGCAGGCACCACCTCCTCTGATGAAGCTGCTGCTCTATGAATCAGTTCAGTGAAAACCAAAAGATCACTGAGCTGTCAGCTGGTAATCTGCTGTTTTTCCACTTCTCCGCTGCTCTTTTTGGAATTAGGGAGCTTGATCTCCCAGGTGCACAGTCCAGCCCCAGGGAGCTGCCGAGTGAGTGGAAGTCAGCCTGAGATCCCCCAAGGCTCCCTGTCGGCTCCCATCAGAGGAAGGCTCGAGCTTACCTGGTTCTGCGTCCTCCTTTACAGAGCAGGGTGGTGACCTCTGCCACCCCAACTTTACTCCAGGAAAGTGTAACTGCATTTCAATCTTTAGAGAAAAATGATATTTTTCAGATGTTTTATCAGATCACTTCCCTTAAATACGTTCTGGTTACCTTCGTGTTTTTCAAGTTCACACAAGCTNGATGAAGCTGCTGCTCTATGAATCAGTTCAGTGAAAACCAAAAGATCACTGAGCTGTCAGCCGGTAATCTGCTGTTTTTCCACTTCTCCGCTGCTCTTTTTGGAATTAGGGAGCTTGATCTGATGAAGCTGCTGCTCTATGAATCAGTTCAGTGAAAACCAAAAGATCACTGAGCTGTCAGCTGGTAATCTGCTGTTTTTCCACTTCTCCGCTGCTCTTTTTGGAATTAGGGAGCTTGATCTTCCCAGGTGCACAGTCCAGCCCCAGGGAGCTGCCGAGTGAGTGGAAGTCAGCCTGAGATCCCCCAAGGCTCCCTGTCGGCTCCCATCAGAGGAAGGCTCGAGCTTACCTGGTTCTGCGTCCTCCTTTACAGAGCAGGGTGGTGACCTCTGCCACCCCAACTTTACTCCAGGAAAGTGTAACTGCATTTCAATCTTTAGAGAAAAATGATATTTTTCAGATGTTTTATCAGATCACTTCCCTTAAATACGTTCTGGTTACCTTCGTGTTTTTCAAGTTCACACAAGCTGCATTTATCAAACTATTTCCAAGCCCTGAGCAAATGAAAGAAGATTTAAAAATGAATGCTCAGCTGATGGAGACCTCAACAGATACTAGTGGCACAAAACAGTGATTTTAACTTAGGTATTGAAAAGAAGACCCAATTTCATCAATTCCTAAAAACTTTCCTGCATGTTCTCTTGAAATTCTATTAATTGGGGACACATTTCTACCAATCAACCCAAAGTTAGAGTTTATTACCTTATGTCCTTGTTCATTTGGACTTTTTTTCTAGATAAATATAACTAATTAAGGTGACCTCACATTGTTCTTAGCCAGCCTGACACCAACTTGCGTTTTTCTCCCCAAGCAACTTCACCCTTCTACTCACCCCCCAATGAAGACATTACCTGGTGTGTTCTTTGGTTACAGTTTTAGAGAAACACATTAAATTTGAAATCTTACACATTAGTTCACTCATATGTTCCTTCAAAAACATTTATTTGCCTGATCATTAGAAAGTACTATTCATTTGTTCTCCAAGAATGTAAACTTTGCAGTGATTAGATATAAAATAATCTGCAAAATACCCAAATCCTTCCCCCCATACACTATTTATTTAAACAATATAGCATAACATTTATTATTTATTTATTTATTTATTTTTACTAAGGCACATGATGTGTAGAAATACTGAGGTACAAAATGCAAATTTCTGCATAAGAGTTTTAAAATACGCGTTTTGGAAAATGTAGGTGAACATCGTCTTCCAGAATATTCAGCTTTTAGCTTGTTTTTTCTTTTGGACCAATTCAACCAGCAACTTGTACCTAGCAATACAGTCTTCCTGTAGGAAGAAAAAAAAGAGAGGTGAAAACAGTTATTTCCACAAGTCAGTGTGATCTCCATGTGGTAAGTCTGCTGGTGGCCTGTTTGTTGGCTTGTGCCCAGGGCTAAGGAAGAGATGTCCTGTCCATTTCCTTTGCCCAGAACCTCCTGGAATTTCCTGGGCAAGCCCAGCTGGTCACAAGGCAGACCCAGCTAAACACGTGAGAGGGAGAAGGCCTACTCAAGTCCAGCCCAAGGTGAAGGGGCTGATCGTGGGGTGAGGAGATGGGGCAGCAATTCTTGCGTATTGTCATTATGATGATCGTGACTTTCAACTTGCTAACTATAATTATCAAGCTAACATTCCATTTTTTCATCAGGGCATGCCACTTCAGAGAAACAAAAAAACTTGAGACCAGGCATCTACAATATTATTCTCATTTGGGTCTACCCTTCCCTAGGGGCTGCTGAGCCCTTCTTGCGGTGGGCCACGTCTGCTGGGCCCCCAGAACGCTGGCGGGAGTGTGTTGCAACTCGCCCTCCTGCTCTTCCCAGCCCCACTTCAGCTGTGCCACATTATCAAACTATGGAACCACCAGCTTCAGATCTCAGTTGTCTGCAGCTCTCATAACTCGCGGGGGGCCTCATGACTACAGCAGAGATGGGGTGGTCATGGGGAGAGGCCTCGTTATTCTCATGTTGAGCACAAGGTACTTCCCAGAATCCATTCTGTTTCTGTTGAAAACGTACTAGCCTCACGGTACTGTAAGCCTTTGCTAACTTAGGGTCCAGTGCAAAGTGATTCCTGCTCTAGAACAGATGACTTTATCAGCTGCCTTGGATAAATGTTCATTCTCTTAGGATTTTAGCGTGGTGTGTTATGAGAGTCTTTACCTAATAGGTACCTTTCTGTACCCCCCAGAGACTACTTGCCTAAGGGCTTGAAAAATATCAGCCTTTACTGAGTAGCTGTGCTGTCTCTGGCAGCATAGGGCATGAAATGGAATGGGAAAGACCCAGCACTTAACCCTGGGAAGGACAGCGCTGGCTGAGCTCTGAGCAGAGCAGACTAACTGGGCAAAGGCTCTGCCCGTAGGCCCCGAGTTCCCCCCATTGTGGCAGCAAGAGCTACTGCAGCAGGCTTCGGAGCAGAGCAGGGAGGACAACAGGCAGCCTCACCCAGACCTGGGTGTAAAGTCAAGGCTTAGGAGGAACACCTGCAGGCCAACAAAGCCCTGCTCATTTCTGGTTGAAAATAGGAAGGTTTTCAACTCCCAAGGCAACGAGTTTCTGAGCACTCTATCCTTAGGAATCCACAGTTCCAGCAACTTCATTTTAAGCCAATGTCAATTCATCACACATGTAAATGCCTATGTCCTGAGAGATGCTAGAGAAATTCGGGGAAAATTATTATTTCTGGCAAATCAGTTGGAGAGGCTGGAAGAATCTGAGCTTTTGAAATAGATCAAATGCTATGGTTTATTTTTCTCCCCAGGAACTCTCAACTTCATTTTTTTTTTTTTTTCAAAGATGGCCGGTAAGGGGATCTTAACCCTTGACTTGGTGTTGTCAGCACCACGCTCAGCCAGTGAGCAAACCGGCCATCCCTATGTGGGATCCGAACCCGTGGCCTTGGTGTTATCAGTTTTAAAGATGACCGGTAAGGGGATCTTAACCTTTGACTTGGTTTTATCAGCACCACGCTCAGCCAGTGAGCAAACCGGCCATCCCTATGTGGGATCCGAACCCGTGGCCTTGGTGTTATCAGCACCGCACTCTCCCGAGTGAGCCACGGGCCGGCCCTCAACTTCATTTTAAAGTAGGTGATAGATAACTAGACCTGTACACTCAGGGACATGCATGGCCACTAGCTAGATATCCCAACACAGAATTTCAATTAAAAAAAAAAAAAAAGAATGTAAATGAGTATCAATGTGCCCAGAGGCTACCGAGTGATAAGCACAGAAGGCAGAAGAGACTGGTTCCTTTGATTTCTCAGTGTTCCTGATGCCTCCGACTAAGAGCATAGCTACAAGGAAAGAAGCACCATGAGATGGTGTGTCAAGAAAGGCCTGAGTTGAAAAGATCACAATCTGAAGCTCCACAGAGCTGAACTCCCCATCAGATCATAAGGCAAAGGGAATACTACGGCCCGGTGGGGGGGGCTGACCCTCCACAGGACACACCCCATCTGTCCTCCTATCTGAGTTTTTATTTGAGAACTATCTGCGGATGTATTTTAGCAGACACTAAGAGCTACAAACAGGGAGAAAAGTCAGTTCAAATAGTGAAGGTTACAGAGGGTAAGTCAAATCCTACATGGCAAGCTCACACTGACCCCACACAAAAATACTGCCTCAGAGCCTCTGGGCAGCTAGGTGCTACTATTGAGTCCAAATTCATTTACAGTGCAGAACTGAAGATCAAAATGATAATATAATAGGCCCCACATATCCCCTTGGTTGAAGACATGTTACAGAGCTAGAGGGCCTTGTGATCTGATGACAGACCTGCTCCTCAGCCTGGGCAGAGGAGCTTGCACAGGCGATGGACGGAGTCTGCTGCCCACGGCTGCCCTGAGCTGCTGAGGGCCTTGTGATCTGATGACAGACCTGCTCCTCAGCCTGGGCAGAGGAGCTTGCACAGGCAATGGACGGAGTCTGCTGCCCACGGCTGCCCTGAGCTGCTGCCTTGCATGGGGAGGAGGATGCTCAGCCAGCCCCATGCTGCCCTCAAACTGCCCCCTGGAAAAGAGCGAATTCTCTAGAATGTTGGCAGGTTGTAGTGGGTGAAGTTTATGTGCTATAAATGGAATTTCCTCTGAGAAAAACTAGCTGGTCTGTATAATGTCTAAACTTAGAATCTGACCTCATTTACACACACTAGTCAACTGAGTGCACAGATTCACCTGCTATATGGAGAAATACAGTGGAAGAGAAATGTTACATAAGGGACCACATGGGCAGCTGTAGATAGAAAGACACACATAAGATGAAAGAAAAAGTGGCTGCAGCCACTTCAGCAAGATTCTAACACCAGCATGCAGGCCTCTTTATTTCCCACTTCACCCACCTTACTCTTAGATGGGACACATCTGGCTATTTTGTCCCAGCGATCAGAAGATCCCCTTGGGTACTGCTGTAATGCCAGTTCCAGAAGTTTCTGCTGATTCTGAGTCCATGGCTCCTCTGCAGTGCGCGTTCTCTCTTTTTTCTGGTTCTCCTCATCGCTGGATTCACTCTGTTCAGATATATCAAAGTCCTTCTGCCTCCTTCCTCGGAACTTTTCCTCTGGCTCCACCTTTGTTCCCGCCTCAAGCAGCCTGGCTGGCTTCCGCCTCCGAGGCTGGGCTTCTGTGACCACGGCCTCCTGCTCAGCCGTGTCCTCTTCCTGCTTGTCCTCCTCCACCGCAGCCACTGCATCTTCTCGCTGGGTGATGAGCTCATCTGGCAAGGCCACAGCTGTCCCGATGGGCTGGGAATTCCGAACTGCTGATTTGAGTTCAGAAAGTCTAACCATTCCTAGGAAAGAGGGCCGCAGCACACAGAGGAGAGGGCAAGGTGAATTCGGGTGACAGTGATAACAGCAGCTGCTTACCACATATCAGGCGGTGCGCTAGGCATTTTGTATACATTATTTAGTTTAATTTTCACACTATTCTAGAAAGATAGGTATCATTACCCTAATTTTACCGATGAGAAAAAGAAGTCTCAGAAAGCAGCAGAGGTGGGATTTGAACCCAGTTCTATATGATTCCAAGTCTTTGTCCTTTTCATTATTCTGAGGAATAATGAGTATATACAGAATTAAGTTGTGATGCAGGAATGCAAAGATCTCTTTGAGAAGGAATAACCTGCTAGTTATTAGATAGGAAAAAATATTCTTCACAATCCAGAGTTTTCATTAGTACCATTAGCATAACTAAATCATCTGGTGCTGCCTCTGGCAGGCAGGTTTATGAGTAAATTATACTAATAGCTAGTAGAAGAATTTTTAAACACAGAAAGAAGAATTTTATTAAAAAATTTAAACCTTTTAATAGGTCAGAATAGTTGACAGACAGAACATTAATAACCTCAATATATTAAGAGTTACAAATCAGTAAAAGCACAGAGAATACGAACAGACAACTCACAAAGAAAGAAATACAAATAGCTAATAAATATTAGGAACATGCAAATTGAAACAAATTTACACAAAGATTAGAAAAGATGGCAATACCTGGTACTGGCAAAGATGTAGAGAAATAGGTACATTCATACACTGGCAGTGGGGGCAGAAATTGGTCTAGCTAACTCTGTCCAATAAAACGTTCTTCAATGCTATTAACCACCTGATATACCACTGAGGAACTAAGTTTTTAACTTTATTTAATTTTAATTAATTTAAAATCTAATTTTTATTTAAACAGCCACACACGGCTAGCAGTTACCATATTAGACAGTGCAGGTCTATCATTTTTGGAGAAGAATTTGTCAAATGTAGGTAAACCTTAAAAATACATTTACCTGTGACTATAATTTTACTTAGAGGAGGTTCTCCAAAGGAAATAATACAAATACATATAAATGTATGCCAAAGTTTAGCTACGAAGAGGCAGTTTTTTATTTCACTTTTTTGAAGTGACATTTCCTCTTTTTTTACTAGCTTTTTAAAATTAGAAAATAAATCCTGCACATAATAAAAAGTTCAAACAGTACAATAGGGAATAAAATGGAGAATGTCTCTTTCAGTCTGGGTTCCAGTCCCCTTCCTCAGAGGCAACATGAGTTGGGGTGTGAGTGTCTGTGGTGAATGTGTACATGTCTAGGAATATAATTAGTCGAGCACATACTAAGTATCTGTACTGGCCTCTCCCTTTTTTATGTTCATGACAGCTACTCTTTGCTGACTATTCTGATTAGCTCATGTAGATTCACATTGTTTTTAGTGACTATGCAATTCGAAATGCATGTCATGACTTATTTTAATAGTTGACCCTTGAACAACGTGGGAGTTAGGGACACCAACTCCCTACACAGTCAGAAATCCACGTGTAACTTCTGACTTCCCACAAACTTAACTACTAAGAGCCTGCTGTTGTCTGGAAGGCTTACCAATAACATAAACATATTTTGTATGTTATATGTATTACATACTGTATTCTTACAATAAAGTGAGCTAGAAAAAAGAAAATGTTATTAAAATCATAAGGAAGAGAAAATACATGTACACTATTGTACATGTATTTATTGAAAAAATTTTGGGTATAAGTGGACCCACACAATTCAAACTCATGTCATTCAAGGTTCAACTGTAGTTCCTTGCAGATAGATATTTAGTTTGGTCCCAGTCTTTTGCTATTACAAATGAGCAGCATTTCATAAGCATAATCTACATAGTTTTTTGATTATGTACCCCATCAACAAAACATTTTTGAATACACAACTCTAATATATGTATATTTGCTTATTCATGAATTACATCCATCTACCACTCTACTAATACATTATTTAATTATAAAATAAATCATAAAAATGAAAAACAATAATCTAAAAAGGTGAAGTGAAATAAAACATACTCATGAAAATATTAATATTAATAATATTAAAAACGAGATTGAAAACTTGTTTAATACTGGGTAAAATACAAAATTAAAGGGCTAGCTCCAAATTCAGTTTATTTTGGCACCTGATTTTTTTTTTTTTTTAATAGTTGAAAAAGATAACTCACAAAGATACATATACCCAAGTGTAGCTTATTGTTGGCTGTGCTTACTAAGCTTTGGTATTTATTTTGCAATCCAAATTAGAAAAATAATTCCATAGAAATCTTCCCCAAACCAATCAGTTTTTCTTGAAAACTAAATGGAAAGTGTTACACTTTTATTTTTATTTATTTATTATTCTGGTGGCTGGCATTACACTTTTATATTTGTAACAACTGAGTTCATTTTGTTTGAAAGACTTACAAGTTAAAATTCTATTTTCAACATTTTTTAACCTGTAGAAATAAGCGTTTTTATAAGTCACATCATTTTGGTCACAGAATAATACGTAATAAAGGAAATACTTTCAAGCATGTTTTCAAAATGTTCTTTCTATAGCATAAATATCTTTCAAAACAGTTACTTTCACATGCATTGTTAAAAAGTCATCTTTATTTTATAGAAACATGTTATTTTGATATCTGTCAGCAGATTGAGAACTTTTTTTTGATGAAAGAAAAAAAGGGAAATTGACGATCTTTAAATTCAACAACTTTTTAAAGTACATTGCCAAAATACTAGGAATCCTTTGTGTGATATAAAACATTACTGTGGTTGTTCTCCATCGTACTAAAAAGTGTCACTGTAATTCTAGAGTTATCTATAAATCCACTCAACCAGGCATCTAGATTATGAACTACTATGTAGCCATTAAAATGATAATATAGACATACGACTATATGGAGTGAAAAAAATATAAAACAGTATTGTGGTATGGTCCCATTCTTCCAAAAATATTATATGCATATACTGCATGCACATCAAAAAAAGTCTGAAGGAATATATCTTGCAAAATAACAACAGTGGGTAGGTGTATTAGTCCATTTTCTGTTGCTGATAACAGAATACCTGAAACTGAGTAATTTACAAAGAAATGAAATCCATTTTGTACAAGTTTTGGAGGCTGGAAAGTCCCAGATCCAGGGGGTACATCTGGAGAGGGCCTTCTTGGTGGGAACTCTACAGAGTCCTGTGGTGACCAGGATATCACATGGCGAGAGTGGCATGACCATTTTCATGTGCTTTCCTTAAAGCCACTACTTCACGCCTGTGATAACCAATTAACCCATTAATGGATTAATCCATTTGTGAGGGTAGGGCCTTTATCATCCAATCACCTCTTAAAGTCCTGACCTTTCAACACTAACACATTGGGGATCAATCTTCCACATGAGCTTTGGAATGGACAAACATTCAACCCATATCAGTAGGTTACATGTGATTTTTATTTTCTTTGTTTATTCATATCTTCTTGAGCTTCTACTAATAAAAATTTCTTTCCATGTTTACTACAGCAACTCTCATGAAATGGGGTCAATTATTTGAATATGTCTGTGTTCCTTATCTGTAGGAGGTCATTTCTACCTTATGTGTTAGCCTATTAAGACGGCTTTACTTCTCTACACTTTTCCATTTCAAAGTTGTTCAGAAGCACAGTTGTATGGCTTTAATGGATCACAACACTTCTTGGTGATGCTTCATTAATACAGTGAACAAAATCAAAAGAAACATTTTTATTTCAAAATTCTTTGAAGCTTTAAAGGCTACTAAGAAGTAAAGTAAAACACAGAGTTCAATGAATATATTTGTGACAAAGACCTAGTGGTACTTTTAGAGAGCTGCAGGACATTTGGATGTGGCCAAATATTCCATTAGTTTTGCTTTTTTCCCTTTCCATCTGTGAGTCTCTGATATTGGATCTGCTCTCTGCTGGAAGCTATTTCAGCTGCCCTGTCTGACAGCAAAGGACAAATATACTCCCTCTCCCAGCCACAGATGCCACTTCAGTGACAATATTAAATGTTCAACTACACAGTTTCTATCGTCTTCACAACACTTTTGACCCCCTCCCCGCTGCTCTAGGCAGATTCGTGTTGGTTCACTCTTCTCAACTGCATGGCCTTTCAATCAAACATTTTTGGAGAATGTCTTAGAGGTATGCTTCTCTCATGTAACATTCCATTGCCCAGTTCTGCCTCCATGGCCAGATAAATAACTGTGTTGGTAGAAAAAGGAATTTGGAAGTTTTTCTTTCCTAAAGCCTGTAGAACTCTGTGTTGAACCCTTTCTGGCAATGGCTCTTTGAGATCTCCGGTTTGCTAATCCCTGGCTTGTTCATCTGCATTACTCTCTCTGGGACCTGAATTTGAATTAGGTTGGAAGGTTTAGGAGGCATTTTCTTACTTTTCAGTTCTAAGCAAAGAGTATGGAGATTCCAATAAAACTGCAGTTAATCTTGAAGGAAATAGATTTTGAGAAACACAAATTCTCTGGAAAGCTGTTTGTTGTCTATTCTGAAGGGTAGCTTTGTGTGTGCGGTGACAATAGGGTGGACAGAGTGGGGAAACTGCACACTGTATTTGTATGGTGTGCAGATCGGCTTTCTCCTGTGCTCCCCCACTCTACAAATACTAGAGGATAATGGGATTGTACCATTCTTCAAACTTATTAAATACATCTTCTTAACACCAACTATATATGCAGGGCTAGATTGGCTTGGTGGTGCCTGTGATTCAACAACTTTTAGAGATATGATCAGTAGAGTGCATTGGACAGAACTACCACACCCCTGTATTTAAAGAAGTTATTATAAAAAGGGACTTATTTTGAAGAAGTCACTTTAGAATAATGGGATAAAGTAGGTGCTAACTTACCTGGGGAGCAGGTAACTGAATCCTTCAGTTGCTTGACTTTGGTTGTCACCTGTTTCAAAAAATAAAAGAAATAAAACCTTACTTTCCATGTACCTATTGTAGGTTGAGTGGCCTATTTCATGTAAGGTCCATATAAATGAAAAGGATTCATTGAATCATAGGCCTGGAAGACCCTCAGTCATCAGTCCGATCCATTTACTTAACCAACAAGGAAATTGAGGCTCAGAGAGATTAAATGGCTTCCTCCAAAGTACCCACCTACTCAGCGGCGGAGTCAGAACAAGAACTCAGATCACCTGACTACTTGAAGCTCAATGAGAGTTCCATTACACTAGACTACCTCATAAAATATCCTAGTTTCAAAATCACTATACAGACAGGTATTTTTTTTCTTAGTTAGAATTTCTAGAAATTAGATATCTTTCTTCACTGGAGAATATTATATCAGTTAGTATTATAATTAGTGGGGAAAATGACATTTATGTTAATGATGTTATAATATAAAAGTATTTCTTTTCTTTGCCTCCTAGAAAGAAACCCTAAGAGCACATAAGATTGACACTAGAGGAAGAATCTTTTGGTGGAATGGGCCAGCTGGACCCCAAAACCATGACACATTTACATATTTCAATGTGGATCCACAGAAATAAATAATTTTGCTCAGTGGTAACTATTTTTTTCTTTATATAAACAGTATCATATTGTATGTCTAATTCTATAGCTTGCTTTTTTCATTTAACAATGTCTTAGAGATCTACATATAGATTTACCTTTTTAAAATTGAGATAAAATTTACAAAGTATACTATCTAGATTTTAAATGTACATACAATTTGATGAGTTTTGACAAAGAAAATCCCTATGTAACCAACATCCTAATCGAATTAAAGAACATTTCTGTTACTCCACAAAGTTCCCTTGTGCATCTAAGTCAATTTCTACCCTGCTATAGACAACCATTGCTCTAATTTCTATTATATATATTTTAAAATATGGGGTTAAAATTAATCAACTACAATTTTTGTCCAAATGAATATTTAATTGCCCCATTGCATTATTAAACAAGCCATTCTTCCTCCATTTATGTAAAATGTTAACTTTATTACAGTTACACGTGATATTGTATACCTGGGCTATTTTTCTATACCTTTCTATCCCATCGATCCACGTATATTCTTGAACATTTCACTGCTTTAATGAGATTTAAAAGTAAAACCTTAGAGGGCCAGCCCAGTGGCGCACTCCGTAGAGTGCACACGTATATTCTTGAACATTTCACTGCTTTAATGAGATTTAAAAGTAAAACCTTAGAGGGCCGGCCCAGTGGCGCACTCCGTAGAGTGCAGCGCTTGGGAGCACAGCGGCACTCCCGCCAAGGGTTCGGATCCCATATAGAGACCGGTCCGCTCACTGGTTGAG